CAGGTGGGGGCTGCTCCTCTCTGCTGGGGGCTGGGTGTGAAATGTGCTGCAAAACTGATGTAATTCCATATTAATTCCTCTTTCTAGGAAAAAAAAAATATATCTCTGGCAAATCCAGTGATTTGGATTTCTTTTCTCGATAGAAAACAGAGAAAACCATCAAACCCAAAATTCCTTCCAGGGAATTTTGCAAAATCAAATTGCACATCAAAAAATGCCCTTTGTGAGAAAGTATTCCCCCAGAAAAACAACAAAAGTCCAACCTTGGAGTGCAGGAATTCACCCTGGGATGGAGTTCCCTTCCTCAGGAGCTGGCACGGGGCTCAGTTTGGGATTTCTGGGCGTCTTGGCCGCGTTTTTCTCCTTGTTTGAGGAAGGAAAACATCTGACACGAGCTCCTGGGGGTTGAGAAACGAGAAGCTGATGTTGCAACCCCAGCGTGGCCCAGTCCTGGCTTCTGCCCCGGTCTGGGTTTCCCACACCAGTTTGAGGTGGGTCATTCCTGCTGGGGGACTGCAAGGGAAGGAGGGAACGTTTTCCTGGATTTTGGTGTCATTTCATGGCGTTTCCACTTCTCCAGGAGCAGGAGGAACCTCTCCCATGGAGGGCTGCACTTTGTCCTTGTCACCCCCAACTCGTGAGCCAAAACCTTTGGGTTTTCCTCACTCCCAGGTGGAATTTCACTGGGATTCTTCCAGCAGAAAACCAGGGATGCTTGTACTGGCGGCTCCCCCAACTCATCCTCATGAAACAAAACCTTTGGGTTTTCCTCACTCCCAGGTGGAATTTCACTGCAGAAAGCCAGGGATGCTTGTGCTGGCCTGGGGAGTGCGTGGTGACTCCCCCAGCTCATCCTCATGAAACAAAACCTTTGGGTTTTCCTCATTCCCAGGTGGAATTTCACTGCAGAAAGCCAGGGATGCTTGTGCTGGCCCTGGGGAGTGCACGGTGGCTCCCTCAAGTCATCCCCAGCTCATCCTCACGAAAATCTTTGGGTTCTCCTCATTCCCATGTGGATTTTCACTGTGATTTTTCCAGCAGAAAGCAGCAAAGCCCGTGCTGGCCCCGGCGGCCGCGCTCCGCTGATTCCCCCGCCCCTGCTCCCGTCAGGCAGGGCCGTGGGATGTTCCTGGGGTGTTCCTGGCAGCCGGGACGGAGCAGGGAATGCGGGAATGCGGAGGGGGTGGGAAGCTGTGCCCACGCCAGCAGCACAAGGTCCCAGCTCAGCTCCCTGCTCTGCCCACGCTCCTGCTCCGTGCCCGGGATGATCCCACCGCGGCAGAGCTGGAGTTTTTCCCGTCAGAATCGAGTTGGTGAAGCCAGAGGGAAGAGCAGCAGCTTGGAGGAGCAGAAAGCTTCTCAGCTTCTCATTTTGGGGCGCTTTCCCTCGTGGAGAGTCAAAAACCTGGCGCAGGTTGAGCCTCTTGGAATTCTGCTTGCCGTGATTCCATGCTGGCCTCATGGAATTGCTCCGTGCTCAGGAGGGAACATCGAGTCCAAGCCGTTGTTTGCTCCTGTCTCAGTGCTTAGGGCGCTGAGTTTATTCCCCAAACCACCAGAGATCCAGGATCTCCCACATTCCCAGAGATCTCCATCCACGCTTCTCCTCTGAGGAGGATTTCATCCTTCATCCTTCACGGGGGGGGGAAAGGATGAACTTTTCCCCGTCCCAGCTCAGCAGGATCCAGACAATTCCCTTCTGGGTGGTTTGGAGTTGGCAAAGTCACAGCAGCAGCTCCGAGTCCCCTCCACGATGGCACCAAAGTTGTGGCAGCGCCGGGTGGATTGGCCACAGCACAGAGTCCTGCTGGCCACGGGCTTGGGGCTGTGGAACCCCAGGTGTGGGTTTGGAGGCCCCAAAGTTTGGGGATTTATTTGTAGACCTGCAGATCTGGTTTGTAGACCCCCAAGTTTGGGGATTTGTGGACCCCAAGATTTGGGGTTGTGGAACTTTGGGGTTATGGAACCCCAGGTTTGGGTTGGTGGAGCCCCTGGTTTGGGGCTTGTGGACCCCAAGATTCAGGGTTGTGGAACTTTGGGGTTATGGAACCCCGGGTTTGGGTTGGTGGAACCCCTGGTTTGGGGTTTGTGGACCCCAAGGTTTAGATTTGTGAACCCTCAGGTTTGGATTCGTGATTACCCAGATCCGGATTTGTGAACCCCCAAGTTTGGGGTTGCGGACCTCCAGATTTGGGTGGGTGGAACCCCAGATTTGAGTTTGTGGGACACCAAGTTTGGGTTTTTGAGCCCCCAGATTTGGGGTTACGCAACCCCAGAATTGGGGTCGTGGACCTCAAGGCTTGGATTTGTGACCCCTCAGGTTTGGGTTTGTGGACTCCTGGGACTGGATGTACAATCCCCCAGATTTGGACTCGTGGACCCCAGTGTTGGGGTTGAGGACTCGCAGGTTTGGTTTTATGGACCCCCAGGTTTGGGGCTGGGTTTGTGGAGGGAACAGCTTCATCCCAACAGTCTTTTCCTTCGGGTTTGGGTTTGTCCTGCTGTGGCTGAGCTGGTTCTTCATTCCCGGCGCCACCAGGAGAAGCCCAGGTGGGTTTGTTGTGCTCTGTGCATCGTGGAATTCTGCGTTTTGCCAAGAAATAATCCTATAAAAACCCCCAGCCTTGCTGTGGGGTGCTTTGTGGTGAAGACTGAAGGTCAGAGCCAGCCCCGTGAAATTCCCCATGAACCTCTTGTCCTCTTCCAGTCTCCTCAACTTTTGGTGTTGTCGGGATTTTGTTCCTTCTCTCTTGGGAACTGATCCTTCAGGACAGTCATTGGATTTAGGAATATTTGATGAAGAAACCAAGAGTTTCTAGTGGTGTCTCCCCTGAGTAATTTCAGCAAATTTCAATAGGCACCTTCAAAAAAAGCTTCCGTTAATTCCCGGGTTTGCTACAAGAACTGGATCCCATCGGAGGGAACCAAAATGCTGCTTGGAAAAACGAACAAAACGAACAAAAAAAACCCCCCCAAAAACGCTCACCCCGCCAAGGAGCTCCTCTGTCTGCCCCCCAAATTCCAGAGCTGCTCTTGAGATGTCCCCCTGGAGAGAACCAGGCTTGGATTCCGCTCCTGCTTGGAATTCAAATATCCAGGAGGGCATCCCAGATCTCCAGAAGGGTGTCCCGACCCCAAGGATGCCCCAGACCTCGAGGGGAGCGTGCTGGAGCTTGGGAAGGGAATCCCAGGACCTGGGAATCTCAGAACTTGGGAATCCCGGAGCTTGGGAGTCTCGGAACTTGGGAAGGAAATCCCAGAGCCCGGGAAGGGAATCCCAGAGCTTGAGAAGGGAATCCCAGAGCCTGGGAAGGGAATCCCAAAGCCTGGGAAGAGAATCCCAGAGCTTGAGGAGGACAGCCTGGTCTGGAGGAGGCGGAGGAGGAGATCCCAGCTCCAAGGAGGGCATCTCCAGGAGGGGATCCAAGATCCTGGGAAGGTCATCCCAGCCCTCAGGGAGGGTATCCCAACCCCTGAGGAGGGAATCCCAGCCTTTAAGCACGGCATCCTACTCCAAGGAGGATATTCCAGACCCCAAGAAGGGGTATCCCGACCCCTGAGGAGGGAATGCCAGCCTCGAGGAGAGCATTCCAGACCTCGAGGAAAGCATCCCAACCCCGAGCAGGGGTTTCCCAGACCCCAAGGAGGGACAGCCAGACCTCAAGGAGGACATCCGAGATCCGAGGAGAGCGTTCCAGGCCTCAAGGGGGACATCCCAGCTCCAGGGAGGACATTCCGGCTCCATGGAGAACATCTCAGCTCCAAGGAGAGCATTCCAGACCTCGAGGAGAACATCTCAGCTCCAAGGAGAGCATTCCAGACCTCGAGGAGAACATCTCAGCTCCAAGGAGAGCATTCCAGACCTCGAGGAGAACATCCCAGCTCCAAGGAGAGCATTCCAGACCTCGAGGAGAACATGCCAGCTCCAAGGAGGACATCCCAGCTCCAAGGAGGACATTCCAGACCTCGAGGAGAACATGCCAGCTCCAAGGAGGACATCCCAGCTCCAAGGAGGACATTCCAGACCTCGAGGAGAACGTGCCACCCCTCCAGCTGGGAAGGAGGGGTTGGGAGGCAGCCGATCCACCAGGATCCTGGTGTTCCTGCTCCGTTGTGTCGCCTTCTCCCTCCTCCCACGAGGCATTCCCAGAGTTTGTCCTTTGGGTCTGGTTTTGGCCGGACACGAGGAGAAGCCCAGTGGACACCAAGGGGAGCCCAGCGCCCCTTTCCCTGTCCCCTCTTGCTTTGGCAATGGTCACAGGCTACATGCTCCCGGGAAAAACCCAAAAAAACCCAAAAATTGGGGGGAAAAAAATTTAAAAAAAAAAAAAAAGGCAGGGAAATGGCCACCAAAAGTGCTGGGAAAGCGACCAAACGGGATGAGCCTGGCAGATGTTCCCGGTCCATCCGGAGTTCTCTTGGGTATTGCAGTGAATGTGTTGTTAGCACGTGGCAAAGCTACATAAGAGAAGATGCTACATTCCTTGGAAAACAAAAAAATAGTGCTGAGTTGGATCTGTTCTGAGTTCGGTGGGGTTTTCCCCTTGGAAAGCCACCTTTTCCTGGGAGGCAGGGAAAGGGAGACCTCAGGGAGGGCATTCCAGATCCCAAAGAGGCCATTCCCAAACTTGAGGAAACCATCCCAACCCCGAGGCAGGAAAAAGGAACCTCGTCCTCAGCCAGGCTGGGCTGCTCCCAGCAGGGTTGGGGGAGAGCTGGGAGCTCCCAGGACGAGGTCTGGGAACAGTCTGGGCTCGGTGGCAGTCGCAGCCCTCGGGGGGAATTTTCACCTCTCCTTCCCCCCTGCCTCACACCCAGTCCTTGCTCCCTCTCCCTTCCCAGGGAGGGCGTCCAGGGCAGATTCTTTTGTGGGGGAAGGAGATTGAAAATTTAAAAAAAAAAAAGGGGGAAAAAAAATAAAATAAAAAGAAGGATATTTACAGCTCTCCATGACCAGTTCTGCAAGGTCTCCTTGGATGTCTCCTTGCCCATCCCGGCCTCTACGGGCAGGAGGGGCTGGTGGAGCTCTCCAGGGAGGACTGGGAGAGGCGGCGGGTCAGGGGTCCGATGCTGGAGTCGGCCAGGGAGGAGGTTGGGAAGAGTTTGTACCAGCCCGAGACGGCGCTGGAGAGATCCAGCTCCTCCAGGATGATCTGGGCCATGCCCATGAAGCACTTGTGGTCCATGCGCCCGTAATCGCCCCAGACGATCACCTGCGGGCAGGGAACGGGTGATGGAGCTGGGAGTTGTGGGGAAATCCATGCCCAGATGGGAAATCCCTGCTGGGGTCGGGCTGGGGAAGGTCTGAGGGACAGCAGGAAGGGCTCTGGGGATCCCTGGAATTGCTCCTCTCACCCTGTGAGGGTCGGGAGCTCCTGGCACGGGGCATCCCAGATCCCAAAGAGGGCATCCCAACCTCGAGGAGAGCATCCCAGCCCTGAGGAAAACATCCCAAACTTGAGGAAACAATCCCAACCCCAAGCAGGGCATTCCAGACCTCCAGGAAAACATCCTGGACCTCAAGAAGAACATCCCAACCCCAAGGAGAGCATCCCAACCTCAAGGAGATCACTCCAGACCTCAAGGAGAACATCCCAGCCCCAAGGAGAGCATCCCAACCTTAAGCAAGGCATTCCAGACTTTGAGGAGAACATCCCAGACCTCAAGGAGGGGATTCCAGATCCCAAAGAGGTCATTCCAGACCTCAAGGAGAAGGTCCCAGCTCCAAGGAGGGCATCGCAGCCCACAGAAGCTGCGGCTGTCCCATCCCTGGACAGCCTTTCACTTTTTCCTTTTCCCTTTCCCTTTCCCTTTCCCATCCCTGGCAGTGTCCAAGGAAAGGCTGGGTGGGGCTCAGAGCCACCTGGGACAGGGGAAGGTGTCCCTGCCTACCTGCAGGACTTTGCCCTGGGGGCTCTCCTCGAAGAGCAGGGGTTGCTGGTACGAGGGGTCACAGGTTTTCTTCACCACCTTGGTCTTCTTCTTGGCCAGGCAGACGCCGTTCTCCAGCAGGTAAACCTTCACATAGGTGGCTGCCGTGGGAAACAGGGACAAGCAGGGACGTGGAGCAGGATCCTGGGATGATCCCAGCACGGCACCCACCCCCTCCCTCCACAGCCACCTACCAGGGATGCACTTGGAGCCCATCTTTGGGATGAGCCCCCGGGCCTGGATCACGTCCACCTCGAGCTGCCCGTTGCGGTCAGCCATGCCCACGTGGACATCGCCTGCAAGGGGGGACACGCCTTCAGGGCGGTGCCTGATGGTGCCCTCCCCCTGGGGACAGCCACAGCCCCGTGTCCCCATCACCACTGGGAACGGGGCACCCCCATCCGCACACACAGAGTCCCACTGGATGCCTGGTTCGCTGGGAATTGGGGGCTCAGTGGATGGGAAGGAGCTTGCAGAGATCTGGGTGGGAGCCCCTCCTTCCTCCCCATCAGCTCCATCCCTGTCACTGGGATTTTATCCCTCATGGTGGGAATAAGGCTGGGATTTTCCCAGGCCAGGTGATCCCCAGGAAAATGAGAGGCTGGGACAGGAGGGATCAGGGGCCAGGAATTCTGAGGGGTCCAACCACACCTCTCCCTTTTCCCTTTCCCTTTTCCCTTTCCCCTTTCCCTTTCCCTTTCCCTTTCCCATTTCCCTTTTCCTGTTTCCCTTTCCCCTTTCCCCTTTCCCCTTTCCCCCTTCCCCTTTTCCCTTTCCCTTTTCCTTTCCCTTTTCCTTTCCCCTTTCCCTTTTCCCTTTCCCCTTTCCCTTTCCCTTTTTCCTTTCCCCTTTCCCCTTTCCCTTCCCCTTTGCCCTTCCCTTCCCTGAACCTCCCTCCTTCTGGGATTTACTCAGGACCAGCTCCCAGTACCGCAGGGACAGAGGGGACAGGACTGGGGACACCAGGCAGCTCTTGCCATTCCCAGCATCTCCAGCCCAGGCAGATCAGGGGTCACCTTGGGATGTGTCCCCAGCTGCTGCTGCTGGCTGGGAATTCACACTTGGGGCGCAACTTTTGGTCCCCATTTGGGATTTCAGAGGGAAAAGAGGGGACAGAGGGGAGGGTTTGGCTCCAGGATGCTTGAAAAGGAAGCCCAGGGATGAGGAAGCCCCGGGAAAAGGCAGAGCCGCTGCTTCCCAGGGATGCCCTGCCCTGAGCCCTGCTCCCCTGCATGGGGCAGAGCATCCCCAAGCATCCCGGGATGGGCTGGGATGGAGCCTTGGGAGAAACACGCGGCCTCTTGGAATAAACACGCGGCCTTTTCCCCTCTTCCCTGCCTCCGGAGCGTCCCCTGCTCACCCATCGGGGGCGTCGCCAGGGTCTGCCGCCCCACGAGCTGCCCCGGCCCCAGCCCGTCGAGGAAATCGCTGAACTGGCTCTCGGCTCCCAGCCGCGTGGTGGGGAAGATGAACCTGCAAAAGATTTTCATGGAGCATCCCCCTCTGCCGGGAGGGGTCCCCGGCTCCCCTCCCGATGCCCGCCCCGTTCCTTACGTGCCGTCGGAGCTGTTGCTGTTGGTGCTGCCGTCCGTGGACTCCCGGCTGCCCTGCCGGGTCACCCTGGTCCTCATCTCCACGGCGATGCCGGTCTCGGTGCTCCTGCGGATGGTGCTGCGCAGCTTTTTGGGGCCGCCCTCTGGAATGGGAGACGGGATCAGCTCCAGCTCCTGCCCCCAGCCCTTCCCTGCCTTCCTGCCTTCCTGGTTTCCATCATCCCAGGGAGTTGTGCGCAGTTCCCTGGGTGAATCCCCACGGGATCCTGCACGGACACACCCCGGTGCGGCAGGAGAGGAGAGCCAGGGGCTGGCTCTGTGTCCCCATGTCCCCGTGTCCCCATTCCATCTGCCACAGCCTCACTCTGTCCCAGTTTTGTATGGCTGAGGGTCCCCTCTGCAACTGAGACCTGCCCCGCTCACCCCACAAGAGCTGGCACCGTCCATTGGCCTCCAAAGCCCCCGTGCCAGAGGGGACAGGACCCCACAATGCCACAGCCACAACGCTCCTGATGTCCCCTTTGTCCACCCTCCCTGTGACCCTGTCCCCATGCCAGAGGGGACAGCAATCCCTGATGTCAGAGCCTCCCGATATCCCCTTTCTCCATCCCTTTGTCCTCCTGTCCCCATACCAGAGGGGACAACCTGCAATGCCACAGCGCCAACGCTGCCTGATGTCCCCTTTCTCCACACCACTGGCTCCCAAAATCCCTGTCCCCATGCCAGAGGGGACAATCCGCAGTGCCACAGGTGTGGGCACAGCCCCAACACCACCTGATGTCCCCTTTCCTCCACCCCGCTCCCCGCCACGTGTCCCTGGTGGTGGCAGATGGCAGCAGGAGGAGGAGGAGGGTGGCATGAGCGGCCACCCCTGGCACTGTCCCCAGGCCCTGCTGTGTGACCATGTGTGAGTGGTGGCATTGCCAGCTTTGTCCTGCTCGTTCAGGGCTGTCCCCACGCAAGGGTTTGCCCGGTCCTGGCAGCTCCCTGGAACTGCCTTAAAATTGAGGGAAAAATTAACTGGGGAGTGATTGAAGCTGTTAGAATTACAAAATGTATATAATTATAATTATATTACGATATAATATTATAATATATGCCTTATATATATAATATTATATTATATATATTTATAATATGTTATGCACATATTATAAATATATATTATATAATATACAATATATAATATGCATATATTATATAATATATTATATTGATATAATACATAATATATAATATATAATATATTATATATAGTATTATATAATGTTCATTATTATAAGGCATTTAGGTGCCATTTTTGGAATGTCATTTTTAGGTGTCATTTTTTTGGGGTGTCATTTTCAGATGCAATTTTTAGACGCCTCCATCACACGCGGGCAACAAAATCCTGCCTGGCGGCCACCTCAAACCCCACGAGGGGGATCAGGGTGGCCTCTCACTAGTCTGGTTGAGCTGCAGGGTCATTTTTTGTTAGGTCACATTTTTGGGTGTCATTTTCAGGTGCCATTTTTTCGGGCCGCCATTTTTTGGGCGTAACTTTCAGGCGCCATTTTCTCGGGCGCCATTTTTAGACCCCTCCATTGCACGCGGGCAACCAAATCCTGCCTGGCGGCCACCTCAAACCCCACGAGGGGGATCAGGATGGCCTCTCACTGGTCTGGTTGAGCTGCAGGGTCATTTTTTGTTAGGTCACATTTTTGGGTGTCATTTTCAGGTGCCATTTTTTCGGGCCGCCATTTTTTGGGCGTAACTTTCAGGCGCCATTTTCTCAGGCGCCATTTTTAGACCCCTCCATCGCACGCGGGCAACCAAATCCTGCCTGGCGGCCGCCTCAAACCCCAAGAACACGATCAGGGCGGCCTCTCACCGGTCTGGTTGAGCTGCAGGGTGCTCTTGCTCCACTGGGACAGCCCCACGATGGCCACCATCTTGGCGCCCAGGCTGGAGCGTCGCTTCTTGCTGGCGGTGACGGTGACGGAGACGGAGTCGGCGCTGCCGCGCGCGCTCTTCTCCAGGCTGTACATCTCGCCGCTGATGCTGGAGCTGCGCACCACATTCCTGGCGGATGAGGAGCTGGCATCCCCGTTGAACATGGTCAGCGCGCCCGCCGGCACCGGCACCGGCTCTGCTGCCCGGGATCAGCTGCGGGGACAAGTTGAGGACGTTCACAGCGGTTGTGGCTTTGTCCCCATGGGGATGGGTGGTGCCGTCGAAGGGTTAAAAAAGCCGGGAAGTTCAGGTGGCACAACCCACGGAGAGGTGGAAATTAGGGAAATGTTTTCCCGCTGGGAACTCCCCAGGCTCCCTCAGGAGCATTCCTGAGGCTGCCAGAGCTCCAGGGATGCACAGGGATGGGATTTTGGGGTGTCTGTGCAGGGCCAGGGGTTGGACTGCGGGATCCTTGTGGGTTCCTTTAATCTCAGTATATCCCAAGATTTTTTCCCCCACCTATGGGAGCAGGAAGGGGTCAGGAACCCTGGGGTGAACATCCAGCCCTGCCTCAGCTCCCTGCAGGACCCAGACACTCCCAGCATCCAGGAGACACCTGGATGAGCAGAAGGCTCTGAGTGCCACCAACCTGCCCAGCCAGGGGTGAGGGGTCCCTTGGGTACAGCCCCATCCACCCCTGAGGACACCCAAAATCACATCCAGCCAAACATCTCCACATCTGCACATCTCCAGGTGATGGGATGGGAATCCCTGGATGGGAGCACTAGGGGTGGATGGCAGAGCTCCCACACGGCCCTGCTGCCTTCCCTTGGCCATGAATATTTAAACTCCAGCAGGATGGAGCATCCATCTTCCAGGGAAAGGTGAATTATTAACTGCAGGCCAAGTGAAGCCACTTTGTGATAATGGATGGAGGCAGCGCCTGGAAAAATGTTTCCCTTTCAGGAGAGAGGGATGGGAGTGGGGCAGGGTGGGGGCTCTGCTGGGATGAGACCTGATGGGAATCATGGATGAGACCTGGCAGGAGCTGTGGGATCAGCTCCAGCACTGCTGAACTCGTGCATTTATCAATGGCAGGGCGGAGCGGGTGATTAGTCATTAATATCATTAATATCATTAATTAGCTCCCTCCTGGCTGGGGTTTTCCCTCCTGGCTCTGCCCAGGCATTGACCCATGGCCTTGCCCCTACTCCTGGTGCCTGGGGGGGCTCAGCACTGACCCCCCAGCTCCAGAGGGATGGAGGCCTTGGATAAAGCCATTGGTGTGGGATGTATCCCAGCTCCAGAGGGATGGATCCTCTGGGATAAAGCCATCACTATGGGATGTATCCCAGCTCCAGAGGGGTGGATCCTCTGGGATAAAGCCATCACTATGGGATGTATCCCAGCTCCAGAGGGGTGGATCCCTTGGATAAAGCCATTGGTGTGGGATGAGCTTCAGCTCCAGAGGGATGGATCCTCTGGGATAAAGCCATTGGGATGAGCCTCAGCTCCAGAGGGATGGAGCCATTGGCACCAGGTGCAATCCCAGCTCTGGATCTGCCCCATCACAGCCCCGTGCTGATGTCCAGCACCTCCTCGAGGAGGGGTCAGGGCTGATCTGCTGCCCTGGGGACCTTTGGGGTGGCACTTCCCAATGCCACCCACCACTCTCAGGCTCCAAACCTGCTGCAGTCCCTGAGTTTTCCCTTAGGCTGCACCTGACACAGGGAACGGATCCCAAACACTTCCCCATGCCTCAGTTTCCCCACCAGCAATCCTGGCTTAGGCTGTGCCCGAGCAAACACAAATCCCTCTGCACGAGGGCTCAGCCAGGCCCAGCCCAGGCCCCTCCACGCTCCAGGTGAGAAATCCCTGTGACAACCCAGGCCAGGAGAGCACACAGGGCTCCTGCTGCTGTTCCCCACCGGCTACTCCAGCTGCCCAGAGAGCACCAGGCTCTGGTGGGAGCAAATTAGATCAGGAGAGCAGAGCGCTAATGGGATCATTTCCAATGCAACACACACAGGGATAATCCACTGCAAAGGAAGCCGAGCAGCTCCTCAGCCTGAAGGGAGGATTTGCTTTCCCCTGCCCGTGATTTTACCCCGTATCTCCCTGCACAATCTGTTTCTGCCCAGAGTGGGTGCTGGGTGGGGGGTTCAGGGGTGCCTGGTGCTGAGATGAGCTGGGCTGGAGATTGAGTGCTGGAGACTGTGGCTGTCACGGCTGAGCTGGCCTTGGCACGGCCACAGCATCCTTGGCACAGCCACAGCATCCTCAGTATGGCCACAGAATCCTCAGTATGGCCACAGCATCCTTAGTATGGCCACAGCATCCTCAGTATGGCCACAGCACCCTCAGTATGGCCACAGCAACCTCAATATGGTCACGGCATCCTCAGTATCACCACAGTGCCCTCAGCACTACCACAGTGCTGTCAGCACGGCCACAGCATCCTTGGTGCCACCACAGCATCCTCAGCACCACCACAGCATCCTCAGTATGGCCACAGTGCCCTCAGCATGGCTACAGCATCACTGATGCCACCACAGCATCCTTGGTGCCACCACAGCATCCTCAGCATGGCCGCAGCATCTCTGGCATGGCCACAGCACCCCTGATGCCACCACAGCACCCTTGGCACAGTAACAGCATACTTGGTACAATCACAGCATCCTTGGTGCCACCACAGCATCCTCAGCACGGCCACAGAATCTCTGGCATGGCCACAGCACCCTTGGTACCACCACAGCACCCTCGGCATGGCCAAGGCATCCTCAGTATCACCACAGCATCCTCAGTATCACCACAGCATCCTTGGTGCCACCACAGCACCCTTGATGCCACCACAGCATCCTCAGCATGGCCACAGCATCCTTGGTGCCATCACAGCACCCTTGATGCCACCACAGCATCCTCAGCATGGCCACAGCATCTCTGGCTTGGCCACAGCATCTCTGGCTTGGCCACAGCATCCCTGATGCCACCACAGCACCCCTGATGCCACCACAGCACCCCTGATGCCACCACAGCCCCCTCGATGCCACCACAGCCCCCTCAGCCCGCTCTGTCCCTGCCCCGGCTCCCCCTTCCCGGCAGCGCGGGGGGAGTCAGGAACCGCAGAGCTTTCCCCTCGAACACCCATTTCCCCTTGCCCTCCGTGTATTTATTCCCCGGCTCCCGATCCAGGGATGCTCGGAGCCATCCCCGTGACGCCGCATCCAGCCCGCTCCATGGGAACCGCGCTCCGAGCTCCCGGGGCAGCGCCGCAGCCCCCGCAGCGCTCACCGCCACCGCGCTCCGTCCTTGCGGGAGACAACGAGCACCGGCAGCCCCGGGGAGTTCCCCGGCGAGCCCGAGGGATGCACGGAGCCCGCGGACAGCGCCGGGAGCCGTGTCATGGCTGGAGCATCCCCGGTGGATGAGCGCAAGCGGCAGGAAAATCGGGATCCCTGTTGCGTGCGGATGGCGGGGGCCGAGCTCTGCCCCTCCCCGCTGGTGGCACCCCAAAAAAATATGAAAAGAATATAAGAGATGGAGGCGTCTTACCGGCCCTGAGCCGGGGAGGAGGAGGAGGAAGAGGAGGAGGAGGAGGAGGCTCGGCTCAGCTTCCCAGCCCCATCCCGGCCGGATCCGGAGGGTGCCAGGGCGGGTGAAGCTTTCCAGGGTTCTGGAGAGCCGGGGCTGTGCTGGCGCTGCTTCAGCATCTCCCTCAGCATCTCCATGGTTACACGGCTGACCCAGTTCTCCTCCCAGCCCCGAGCAGGGCCACAGTGGTCCAGCGGGGTGGGATGGGCTGGGAGCATCCCTGGGCTGGGATTCAGGGAGCTGATGACCCCCCCTGGATCCCTACAGAGGGCAGGGATGGGAAAAGTGGGGCTCAAGGCAGGACAGGAGGCTGCAGGTGACTGGGCAGTGCCAGGGGGGCTGCAAATGTGGGAAGGGACAGCCTGGGGCTGGGAGGCAGTGCTGGCCCCAAATATGGCACAGAAACAGGAATGAGGGGCAAAATATTGATGGGAAAAATGGGAAAAGCTCTGGAGAAGGAGGGAACAGCCCTGCAGGTGCCCCCACACAGGTGGGAAAGGAGGAGGAGGAGGAGGAGGAAGGTGCTAAATGAGCACGGTGGGGGTGGCTGGGAACGCTGCCTTGCCAGGGAAGGAGGCAGAGGGATTTTGGGAGCTGTTTGCTCCCTCAAAACCACCAAGGGAAAAACGGGGCTGTAAAAAACCCTGGCACTGGGACAGGAGGTTCTTCCTGTCCTTGTGAGGCTGGGGCTGCCTCGAGCCTGGAAAGAAAGCGCTGAAAACTGTGCATGTCTGGAGCAGGTAGGTCCTAAAATCAGCTTTTTTTGGGGAATAAAAAGGTTGCCAGAGCTGCCACCCCAAGGCCCTGCCTAGGCAACAGCACACCAGGACAAGCTGCAGCATCCCAGCTCCCACACACCTGCTCCTGCAGGAATTTGGGAATAAGGCAAGGCTTATTTCCCCTAAAAGTATTTCATTCTAATTAATTGCTTCAGCTTTGATAGGCAGCTGCTTGTATAATTTTAATTGCCCAACAAGGGCTATAATTGGGTGCACGTGAGCTGGGAATTTGGGAGGAACTCCAGGTCCTGGAATTCAGCTTCTCCTGGCTCAGGCAGGTTAGCAAAGTTCTGTCCTGGCTGGGATTTGCTGCAGGTGCAGCGTTATTGCTGCATCAGCTTAAAATTAAAGGATGGGGTCCAAATGTGCTCCATTCCTTGGAAAAGTTGGGAAGTTTGGATGGGGCTGTGCACTGGGAGCACCAGTGGGATCCAGACTGGGAGCACCAGTGGGATCCAGACTGGGAGCATCACTGGGACCCAGGCTGGGAGCACCACTGGGATCCAGGCTGGGAGCATCACTGGGACCCAGGCTGGGAGCACCAGTGGGATCCAGACTGGGAGCACCAGTGGGACCCAGGCTGGGAGCATCACTGGGATCCAGGCTGGGAGCACCACTGGGATCCAGGCTGGGAGCACCACTGGGATCCAGGCTGGGAGCACCAATGGGATCCAGGCTGGGAACACCACTGGGATCCAGGCTGGGAGCACCAGTGGGACCCAGGCTGGGAGCACCAGTGGGATCCAGGCTGGGAGCATCACTGGGATCCAGGCTGGGAGCACCAGTGGGATCCA